CTGGGTTCAAGCAATTCTCCTGCCTCAGCCTCCTTGGTAGCTGGGATTACAGGCGTGTACCATCGTACCCAGCTAATTTTTCTATTTTTAGTAGAGACGGGGTTTTGCCATGTTGGCCAGACTGGTCTCAAACTCCTGACTTCAGGTGATCCGCCTGCCTCGGCCTCCCAGAGTGCTGGGATTACAGGTGTGAGCCACCGCGCCCAGCCTGGATGCCCTAGTTTCTAACCAATTCCTGTATCTCCAGGCCAAAATTGTGCGCAACGCCAAGGACACAGCACACACACGGGCTGAGCGGAACATTCTGGAGTCTGTGAAGCACCCCTTTATTGTGGAACTGGCCTATGCCTTCCAGACTGGTGGCAAACTCTACCTCATCCTTGAGTGCCTCAGTGGTATGAGTGCGGGCCCAGGCAGGGGTGTGTGGCGGGGGCAGGGAGCCAGCATAGGAAGCTCTAGGGGGAAGCTCTTGAGAGATGAGTCTGTGGGGGTTGGCTAGGGGCCCCCACTCTGTCCTACCCATCCACCCATCCATCCGTGCATCTGTCCCATCATTCATTCATTCATTCATTCAGCAAACGTCTGTCCAGCACCTACTGTGTCCCTCACGTGTGTTGGGGGTGGATGGGCATGGTGGGAATTTGGGTAGAAGTCCAGAGGATGGTTGTGTCTTGGAATTCCTAGTCCCCTCCCTGTTTTGTTCTTCTCTCCTGTGTGCCCTACATCCTGTCAAGTCCCCAGTCCAACTGGTTCATTCACTGTAGCGTCCTACTCTATCAGTCTACTCTCAGGGGCCTGGTGGGTTGGTCAGAGCACTTTTCTAAGTGGGCTGAGGCCTCCTGCTCACCTGCTTTCTAGTGTCTCCTCCGCGGCCTGCTGAGGTCATAGAGCCTGGGGCTGCTCCCGGACCTTCTATTCAGTCCTGTGGCTTGCTGCCCAGATCAAGCCTCACCCCTAGGCCAGCTGACCCCTGCTGGCTGTGAGCAGTCTTGGCCTGCCTTTCCCTCGTTTGGGCCAGATGAACCCTGCGAGCTTCTGCCTCCATGCTCTACATTTGCTCCGTTCATCTCAGCATCCCCTTAAAGTCCCAGCAAACCGCACTTTCTCTGTTCTGTTGTGTTGGGATTCACTCTGTCTTCCCTGTCTCCTCTGCGAGATCTTTTGGGCTAAACTCTTGGAGCTGTGGCCTGGGCCTGGCGTATTAGAGCTGTTGTGTACATGTCTGTCTCCCCAGTAGACTGAGCGTCCTGAGGGCAGTGGCTGGGTCTCTTCATCCTGTCCCCAGCTTCACCCAGCACAGGGCCAGGCACCAAGTAGGCGTCGGTAGATGTTTGCTGAATTGAATTGAATCCCCACGGCAGCTCTGTGAGGCAGGTAGGGCAGGAATTATGAGCCCCGCTTTCCCCAAGAAGAAATAGACTCAGAAAGTGTAAAGGGACTTGGACCCAGCATGTGGCTGCTGACGTGTTTGTGTGGCAGGTGGCGAGCTCTTCATGCATTTGGAGCGAGAGGGCATCTTCCTGGAAGATACAGCCTGGTGGGTGTTACTCCTCCACTTTCCTGAGGCCGCCGGGTCCCTGCCCTACTCCCGCCTTCACCATGTCTTGTTTCTGCAGCTTCTACCTGGCCGAGATCACGCTGGCCTTGGGCCATCTCCACTCCCAGGGCATCATCTACCGGGACCTCAAGCCCGAGAACATCATGCTCAGCAGCCAGGGTGCGCCTGTGTGTGCGGGCAGCTGCAGGCGGGGTCTGCGATCTGTGGGGAGGCCGAGGAGCTCTGTGGGTGGGGTGGGGCCCTGGTCATGCCTCTCCACACTCTTCCTCAGGCCACATCAAACTGACTGACTTTGGACTCTGCAAGGAGTCGATCCATGAGGGTGCCGTCACTCACACCTTCTGCGGCACCATTGAGTACATGTAAGTGGCACCTGGCTGGCCCAGGGGTCGGGAGGACAGCCTGAAGGGGCATGGCCTGACTGACAGTTCCACCTGGACCCCAGGGCCCCTGAGATTCTGGTGCGCAGTGGCCACAACCGGGCTGTGGACTGGTGGAGCCTGGGGGCCCTGATGTACGACATGCTCACTGGATCGGCAAGTCCAGCCTCCTGGGAGGAGGAGGGGCAGGGGCAGGGGTGGGAGGAGCCCCCCTACTGGGGCAAGGGCAGGGCCTGGTGGGAGGCCCACAAGGCTCCTCTCACCTTCCTCCTCCTCCAGCCCCCCTTCACTGCAGAGAACCGGAAGAAAACCATGGATAAGATCATCAAGGGCAAGCTGGCGCTGCCCCCCTACCTCACCCCAGATGCCCGGGACCTTGTCAAAAAGGTGGGACTCCTTTCTCTCTTCTCTGGGGCCCTGCCAGCCACTCAGCACGTGTTCTTGAGTCTCTCTGGGCTATGGGGAGGCCAGGGCCACCCTGCCCTGTGCAGTTTGCCTCTGGAGTAAAAGGAGCCCCTCCCTTGAAGTCCGGGATTCAGCCCAGGTCTCAGCTCTGTCACAGACCAGCTGCTGCCCTAGCCCAGACCTTAGGCTGAGTCCTAACTGGGGACGTGCTTGTGATGAGCTGGCCACACTTCCATCAAAGGCGAACATCAGAGGTGTTAGGGGGAGGCCGGGCAGCCACATGGGGAGTTGGCGCCTCACCAAAGCGCCCTGGGGCAATGCCAGGGCCCAGGAGCCTCTGCAAAGCCTTTGTGGAGAAGGTGGCTCCATTGACCAAAACTTGAAAGTCCCCAGGGTATCCACAGGTGGGAACCACACCCAAAGGCATTCTCTCCCATGTCACCTGACCCCCACTCCGGCTAGCCCTGGGACGTGGGGACACAGGAACAGTACTGCCCAGGCCCTCACCCTCTCTCCTGGTCCCACAGTTTCTGAAACGGAATCCCAGCCAGAGGATTGGGGGTGGTCCAGGGGATGCTGCTGATGTGCAGGTGGGTTTGGGGCCACCACCAGGGGTAGGGCTGAGTCTCCAAAGGTGCCAGGAATGGGGGTAGGGCCCCAGGGCAGAGGGAGTGACCAAGGGGGCAAGCAGGGTGAGCTGTTAGTGGGTTTGGGGCATTCTCTACCCACAGAGGCATCCCTTTTTCCGGCACATGAATTGGGATGACCTTCTGGCCCGGCGTGTGGACCCCCCTTTCAGGCCCTGTCTGGTGAGCAGCAGGCCCAGTGGCCGGTGGCCGGTGGTGGGTGGCAAGTGGAGAACCTGCATCTTGGTGCCCTCTGACCCCTCCCCTCTCTGGTCGGCCCACAGCAGTCGGAGGAGGACGTGAGCCAGTTTGATACCCGCTTCACACGGCAGACGCCGGTGGACAGTCCCGATGACACGGCCCTCAGTGAGAGTGCCAACCAGGCCTTCCTGGTGACTGCGGGGGCCTGGGGACTGTGGGACCAGGGCAGGGATGGTGGCTAAGGATGGAAGTTACTGAGTGTCGCATGGCCCTGCCTCCGCCCCCAGGGCTTCACGTACGTGGCGCCGTCTGTCCTGGACAGCATCAAGGAGGGCTTCTCCTTCCAGCCCAAGCTGCGCTCACCCAGGCGCCTCAACAGTAGCCCCCGGGCCCCCATCAGGTACTGAGGGATGTGGGGATGTGTGGCTGGGATAGGGACACTAGCAGGCAGGACGCCAGCTCCAGCCTTGGGTGCCTTGGCCACGTCTGTCAGCCAGTGTTGGCTTAGGTTGCTGTGTCTACGATGGGGACCTCAGTCCCTACCTCCCTTGCGGTCAGGCTGCCTAGGTGGGAGTTTGTGGAGCCCATGGCCTGTGTGCTTGGGCAGGTGGGAAAGTCTGCCTTCCTTGATCGAGTGCTGGGAGGCCCTGGCAGGGCCTAGGGGGCTCTTACTCTGCCTTGGTTTCCCCTGCAGCCCCCTCAAGTTCTCCCCCTTTGAGGGGTTTCGGCCCAGCCCCAGCCTGCCGGAGCCCGTGGAGCCACCTCTACCTCCACTCCTGCCACCGCCGCCGCCACCGCCACCCTCGATCACCGCCCCTCTCCCCATCCGTCCCCCCTCAGGGACCAAGAAGTCCAAGAGGGGCCGTGGGCGTCCAGGACGCTAGGAAGCTGGGTGGGGTTGAGGGCAGCCCTTGAGCCCTATCCCTGCGGCTGTGAGGGCAGCAGGTCCCTGGGCCAGTGTCAGAGACCTGGGGGTGTGTCTGGGAGTGGGGTGCGAGTGCGTGCGAAAGTGTGTGCCTGCTGGGGCAGCTGTGCCCCTGAATCATGGGCATGGAGGGCTCCAGGCTACGACTGCTGGGGCCAGAGCCCTGCTGCCCACCATGCCCTGCGCTCAGCTAGCTGCTCCCGTGGAACATTAAAGGGCTGAATCATGGCGCTGACCTGACTCTTTGCGCTGCATGCCTGGGGGCAGGGGTGGGTTGGATTGTGCCAGGGGGAGCCTCTGGTCCGGGAGGGAGGGGTCTCTGTAGGACCACAGGGTCACAGGCTGGAGGAGTTTTATTTCAAATAGTTGCCTGA